GGGAGAATTCCTAGATAGGTTGAAAAAAAAAAAATATATATATATATATATAGAAAATATTATTAGTGATTACCAGGGGTAGGAGGGAGGGGGTGAAGGGGAAGCTTTTGTTTGTGGGGCATTGAGTTTATGCTAATGGTAGGGGAATATTTTGGAAAAGGACAGCAATAATGGTGGTACAGCATAAGAGACGTCATCATTGTCCTCAAGCTGGAAATGTGGAAGTTATACTGGCAAATATGTGTATTTTCACCGCAATAAAAGTTGGGGGAAAAAAAGTAAAAGGAAGGTGTGGTAGTTAAAGTATACAACTTCATGTATGTCATGTATGTCAACCTGGTTGGGCCTGGTTGAGTGGCTGGGCAGCTGGTGGTAGTTATTCCCCATGATGAGATTGGCAATCAACTCCATGGTGGCATCTACCACAAGCAGCTCAGTAACTGCTTTAGTGATGTAGTCTGCTTCCTGTATATAAGTAGCAGCTTTGGGAATGGTCTCTAGCTTATGGCACACTTGACCCCTGCATGTAGCCATGTCATTGTTCAGCAGCCTGCCATGCTCTGACGACTCTGGGTCTCGCAATGGACTTGAATTAATGGCCTGCCGTGTGGTTTGGTAACATCGGGACTGTGCCTTTTTACTTGTCAACCTTGGACTTGTCAGCCTCAGCAGCCAGCAGCTGAGAGAAAAGCCTCCAGCTTCAGTAGACTGGGAGCAGGAAAAGAGGTGCAGTGCAGCCCAAGATTGAGGGGCTTTCACTCAGCCTGTAGAGCCTGGCACTTTGAACTCAGACTTAAAGCCTCCAAACTGTAAAAGAATAAATTCCTGTTTGTTAAAGTCAACCCATTTGTGGTATATTTCTGTCAGAGCGGCAGAGGTAACCAGAACAGGTTTACATTGGAAGGAAACTTTCTTTGTTGGTTACCAGGGATTTGGGGGGGGAGGGGTGGTCTTTTGCAACAGATTTGCCCAGTGCAATACAACATCTGATTTCCTGACTGCTGCTTCCATGGGCATTCATTGTGGATCCCACTAAAATGAAATTCTTGACAACTTCAATCTATTCTTCTGTTTATCATGATGTTGCTTAGGGCTCCAGTGGTGAGGATTTTTGTTTTCTTTATGTTGAGGTGTAGACTGTAGCCTTTGATCTTCTCGGTAAGCACTTCGAGTCATCTGCACTTTCCGTAAACAAGGTTGTGTCGTCTGCATACCACAGGTTGTTAATGAGTCTTTCTCCAGTCCTGATGCCACGTTTCTTCCTCATATAGACCAGGTTCCTAGATTACACAAGACAACGTAGTATACAAAAACTTTTCTTCCATTTTTTAAGTGGTTGTTTATAACTTTATCTATATAAACAGAGATGAATTTGATTTTTCCTTTCAAATTTGTTTCTTTGTTTTTATCAAGCACATTTACCAGGTCTTTCAGAATATTAAATAATACTGGAAAGGGGAGCCATCTTTATTTTATTTCTGATTTCAACGGGAACACGGTTTTTTGTAAGGAAGCTTAACTTACTTTTTTACATGTTCAATTTAAAACAAAATATTAGGGAGATACCAGAATTTTAAAACTGTATTATTTTACTGTTAATTTAGCTCAGTTAATCTAGGTTGAAGTTGTAACATTTTCAGATACTATTCATAGTTGTGAAGATAGTGCTAAACTCAGTAGAGCAACCTGTTGTCCTAATTAGTTAAATGAATCCCAAGAGAGCTACTGTAAATGGAATTACCTAACTCAGCAAGTTCCCTACTAAAATGCTGGCATGACTCAATTAACTAATTGGATTCTATCAAAATAAAGTATGTTTAGGGATGATTTTATATTTAGGGATGATGTTATTTTATCTTAACAGGAATTTTATCTTAAAGGTCATTAAAATATATTAATTCAATCACTTGATCAAGAACTTTAGTTTGTATTGTATTTATGGCATAGTACTGTTGATTATCAGTTTTTATCCAAAGAAGATTTCTGGAACACTTACGTAATTGCACGACAGCACTTTCTCCATTTGTTGCAATGTAGTGCAGCGTTTGTTCCCCATAGTAGGAAGCTCCTGTCTTGTCAACATCTGTACTAGCTATTACCAATACAGCAGTAGCTATTAACAGTAAAAATTTCAATTAGATTTAACACA